AAGGCAACTTTTAGTCTAACACCACAGTCAAAATCTTTGATTCTCAAGAGTCTGATTTCTCAGCCATCCTGCTTTTCATTTTTTTTCCAGTGGTATTCTTTTAATAAGAACTTTTTACCTTCGAGTCAGAACTGACTCCTAGCTGACCTTCCAGCAGATTGCTGTAAATTGCATGTTTACTAACATGAAAAAGCACATTTTATTGTGCTTCAGATATAAGAAAATAAAATTTCCAATTGAATCAAACTGTAGACACAATCCCCTTAAATATGTCTTTCCTCCATCATGTCTGATTACTGTTATATGCATTTGAGCCGCCTGTGACTCTTAGCGACCCATGTGCAATAATAGCTCTGAACCTTACCCTATCTTGAGCCAGTCTCATGAAATTCTCTGTGTCTGCCAATTGTTTTTGGTACAGTGACTCTGTGTACTCCTTCTATCTTTTCACACTTCCTGGATCATTCAACATTCTTTCCATATCATCCTTAAGTATTTCAATGTGAGGCTTGAATTTGTTCTTCAGTTCCTTCAGCCTAGCAATTGCCTCATGAGTTCATCACTTTTGATTTTTCAACTCCCATTCTTTGTAAATTTCATTATACTTTGTCTTCTTGAGCTTCCCTTTGAAATTTTCTATTCAACTCCTTAACTTACTGATTTCTTTCCTTTTCTTTGGCTTCTCAATGGTCTAGTGCAGTATTCAGAGTACCTTCTGATATCCACCTTGGTATTTTTGTTCCTTCTCAGTCTTTGTATTCTTCATGACTGATAGTCTTAATATCTTCCCACAGCTCATCTGGTCTTCACTCATTAGTGTCTATTAGGTCTTAAACCTGTTCCTGAGAGAGTCTTTAAATTCAAGTGGGGATATACTAAAATTTTGCTTCTTGCAAGTTTGCTCTAGTTTTGGTTTGAACTTAACCAACTTGAATTGGATTGTTTAAATTAGACTATAAATAAAAACAAAAATATGAACAGGAGGAGAAAAAGAAAAGATTGCCTAGGATACTGTGTTATACTACGATACTGTGATACACTTTCATAGTTCAGCTTGAGGTGTGGTTCTTGGAAAATGAGACAAAACATTTGGTTTTTTCATCCTTTTCATTTTTTTGCATGTGACACCATTACTACAAAATCCAAATAGTTTCTGCTTTCTGTTTCTCTCAGCAATACAAGGGTAACAATTGTTGTCTCAAATACTGAAAACACTGAGACTGATCTGCTTGTGTTTTATATTTATTTTTATAAGAAATATTTTGGAAATTTTAGTATTTTAGTTTAGAATATTTTACTAAGTATGTTAATTCCACTTACTACAGTCCTCAAAAAGAAAAGTTTCTCTAGAGAACAGGCAGTGACTTTTGCCATCTGTTAATTTTCTGATTCTGGAGAATCCAGAAATGTGGTATAGGGAGCCAGGGATAATTTCTTTCAGTTCTGTATGCAATAAACTTAGATTTGAGCATAAGAGGAAACTATTGCCAATAAGCCTACATATACATCCAAGAAAATGACAAAGATGTCATTCATGAACAAACAAAACAAAGTCCTAGATAATTCTAGAAGATTTGCTTTATCCCTATAATGAGTACTTGCATTTTAAAGGATTTTTCAGAGGTATAAATTCCCTATAGGTCTGTGAAAAGTATACTCTATTCTTGTTTTAAAATTTTGAGGTTACTTTTATCTCTGATTTCTATTTTGATACAAAGTTTTCTGTGGCACTAAGTACAGTAAATTTCACTTTACGTTAGAACTGACAACTGTATTTACTAGAACTGTCTTTAGTAAAGAATTTTAACTTTCAAAATTATTTATATTAGGATTTAATATTTTTCAACTTAGTCTTAATTATACAATATTTCTTTTTATATGTAATATTTTCTTTTTTTCCAATTTAGTACATCAAAGGAGGTCATAGTCTACAATACCGGGAGAAACGTTTTAAGAAGTTTATTTCAGATAGTCCAGGACCTGCAAGCTATAACCAGTTGTATCCTAGAATAAGAGATGCCACAAACATGAAAGTGCTGGAGTCTAAAGAGTGTCTTCAAATGGTTTGTTGCTCTTTAGTTATACTTCAAAAGATGCTTCTTTTCATTAGAAGAAAATAGAAAAATTTATTTCTTGTATGCTAAGAACATTTAACAGTATTATTATAAAAATAGGTAGACTTACCAAAATTCAAATTGTAGTTAATTTATAATTAAGTGAATACTCAAAGATGTTTGTGAACTTAGATTTTTATGTGTAATTAGCATAAGACTCCATTTTTTTGCTCTTGATTTTTAATCTTTTCCTATTCTGTGGTAAATAAAACAGGAAATTAAAAAACAACAACAAAAAAAACCCCCCAAACTCTGAGTCATTTGCCTATGTTGTTATTGCACTGTGTCAACAATGACTCATAGTGACCCAATGAGCTACAGGTAGGAACTGGCTCTATCCTGCACCATCCTTATCATCACTAGAAGTCCTAATCCACAACATAAACAGTCTTCCCAGTATCCTGGAAAA